GGGGAAGCCGTGGCAGAGGGGAGCGTCGCAGGGTGCGGAGGGACGCCGAGCGGCGGGGACGCGGCCGGCGGAGCAGCGTCCCGCAGCGCGGGGCTGCTTCCAGCGGCACCAGCCCGGCGTTCAACGCGGAGGAAGGGACGGGGCAGTGGAGAGAGGCAAAGCGGGAGGTCCTTACTGCTGAGCTGCCAGCAACTGGGCAGGGACAGAGGCATCTGCCACTGACCCAAGCTCTGGCAGCCCAGGAGTTGCCCCCACCTGGCATATCCCATGGGTCGGCAGACGTGTGGCTGGGAGGGACTGGTGCCGGTCCGAATATATCTGCCAGCTCCAGAATAGAGGACTGCAAAGAGAAAGGGAATAAAGATATGAGAGAAGGCTGGGGAAGACCTGCAAGCCCAGCCTGGAGCTGTGGGACCGCTCTGGAGCCCAAGGCTGATGTGGGACAGTGACCACAGGAGGGATGTCCTGTCCCCCTGCGGCCAGCTGGGCCCCCAGTGGCTTTACCTGGCTTTTCTTCATTTTATCTTCTTCTTCCTCTTCCTCCCTGCCCGGGGCGGTCTCCTCCAAGGCTCTCTGCAGCAGGGAGTTCTCCCCCTGCCAAGCCCTCACCTCCTGCAGGGACAAGGGACGGTGCCGGTGAGTGCCAGCGACACCGCAGTGGGCACCTTCTCCTGGAGACAGACCCAGCACAGGAGCTGCCACCGCGTCCCCGAAAGTCCCAGCGTCTGAGCAGATGGCTCCTCTGGGGACGAGCCCACCGCGAGAGCGCTCAGCGATTAGCCCCAGAGCAGCGGAAGCAAAGCGGGCGCCGGAGCGCTCCCGGCAGCGGCGGGCGGGGCGGGCCCCCAGCCGCCCGCGGCGAGGCCGCCGAGCCAGGCAGAGCTACGCGGCGTTTCGTCCTGCAGAGCCCCAGAGAGAAGCCCAAGTGCAAGGAGAGAGGAGCGCCTGGGGCTGCAGGGCACAGGTACCTTCTCATGCTCCTCTTTGCTCAGCGCGAGCGCTAGCTGCAATTGCCTTTCTTCGTCTGTACTGGAAATTGGAGGAAGTGGCTTCTGCCAACAGAGGAAATTGGGTGAAATTTCAGCTTGACCTTAGCTTGCGGGGCTGCTAACAAAGATCCCCATCCTCGCAGCCGGCTTTCCTGGGGCCCCTTGCCTTCCTGCGCAGCACGTCTCCGGTTATGCAGCCAGCTCCCACTTGGCTTCTGCTGCCCTGACTCCCAGGCGGGCGCTTCTGCCTGCGTCATCACCCGTCGCCCCTGCGCTCTTGGACCATCTCTCGATCTAGCTTCCTTACACTTTGCAATCCAGCTCCTTCCCTTACCCACCGATTTCTTTGGTCTGTTCATCTAGGGTGAGATGACCCTAAATTAGGCAGCCAGCATCTCCCTGAGGAGGATTTTGGGGGCACTGCAACTCTCCACAGATGCAGGGGGACCTTGGGCAGTCAGCAGAAGAAAGCGGATCGATTAGGTGCCCCCCTCTTCCCTTCAGCCTGCTCCTCCACCCCATGCTGGAGAGGAGGCTGTGAAACTGCAACAAGCCTCAAATCCCACCATGTGCGTTTTTCCATCTCCCACCTCCTCCAGGATAGAAACGGTCAGGTCCTGAGGCAGCGTGTGGAAGCTATAAATACTCAATTTCCAGGACAAAAAAAATAGGGAGATATAGTCTCTTAACTCTCCAAACGAGCCTTTCGGAAGGGGAAGGTGGGCAGGGGTAAACATCATCTCCGAAGCAGCCTCCCCTACCAGCACAACGCAGCACGCGGTGCTGCCGGGGCTTGGTGCCAGCCCCAAGGACGCCGCCCGCGCCGCAGCGGGACGCCCGGCCACGCAGCCCTTCCGGTGACCCCGTCTCTCTCTGA